GATACCAGTATTGGTATCGGTGCATCCCTAGTTACGTTGAGTCGAACATCTGGGACTCTAATGGCTGTGTTGTAATCTGGCAATGCTTGGTTATGCTTATTCACTGACTCATTATCCGATGTCACGGTCAAAGTGCAAATAAGATTCTCTGTAACAGGAATAACAAAACTCCGGGGAACCTGCTGCTTCCTGCGACTGAAGCAACAGGTTCCAGCACCTTCTAAGCACTGCAGTCGGTCACGCCGCTTTGAAAGATGAACACTGTTCAGCTTCTGTTTAAAATCTGCCGAGGTCGGAGAAGATGTGACAGCATAGCAGGTGAATGCCTGATCCCTCTGTTTAGACTTACCAGGGTTGTATTCATGAAACACCCCAGCTGTGTGTTCAGGGTCCAGTCATTTAATGACTTATAATCAATAACCAATACTTTGAACTCAGGTCTGGTTCAGACACGGGAGCCAGATCACCTGACCTGGTGTTGAAGGGCGAGGGGTCTAGTTTTGGTTACCTTGGACCTTTGGTTTGTGCAAACAGACGATTTTGAAACGTTTCCTGATTACACAGGTTTACAGTTGACGTGCAGTCGCCCTCAGCTGATGTCACAGCCTGACAACAACATGAGCTGCAACTATTTTCAGTAACTATAACTACAGGATTTCATTCAGATTGATGCATCACTTCCAGCTGACTGGCCAGAGTTAAACACATCTGGAAAATATCTACAGTGAACTACATCATCAACGACTGTGCAGCAACAAAGCAAGTTTCCTTCAGTGAAAACAAGACATTCAGATTTCTGCCTGCAGCTGACCAGGCACAGGGCACGGCCTGCTTCCTGTCTCAAATCAGTATTTCAAATAACTGAAACCCCTAAAAGGTCAAAAAGTACAAAGCTCACAGGAGGTGGATGTAGAAACATAAACCCGGTGGTTGCATGGTCACTGAGTGTGTGCAAATACCAAACCTCCGGCTGTGGTGAAATTCCTTCTCACGAACTCAGCGGTCGATGTTCGACTGCGTGACGAGTCGATGACAGCTGAAGGGCTTTGACTTAAGAAGGAAGAGGGAGTTAAAAAGTCCTCATTTCTAAGAATAATGACAATAATAAAAAT